TTTTTTGGTTTTTCTCCGGTACCGGGAACCGAACTCACGACCTTGCGCCTGCCAGGCAGGCGCTTTTGCCGCTGAGCTAAATCCCCAGCCCCGATAAAACCACATTTTCATACAAGAGATGCCAGGATCAAGCTGCTCCACATTCATGGGAATGTCAGAAACAGGCTGGGAAAAGGGAAAGAAAGAAGAGAGACATTTCCTCTGATGCGACCAAGGACTTTAATTGGAGACAGCTCCTCCTACCCTGGCTATGTCAGGAGCTGGTGGGGCTCCAGCAGGTGGCACAGGGATGACTCCGACGTCTTCTCCTCCTGCAGGGAGTTTCTGAATTCGTCTTCATGACTCCTGTCCACTGCCCTTCTTCTCACTGAGACCCTCCACAGCTGTGCAGCCAGAGACCTGTGGGGGCGCCACAGACTAGAATCTTCAGGGTCGCCCAAGGTTGCATGCCTTGGTTGCTACCCAGTTGTTTTGGTAGCGGTGTGGGTGTCTCTTTTGCAAACTACTTTGGTAAGAGTCGGCATTCAGTTCTGAAAGAATGATGAAAAAAATGTACCTTGAGTACAGGCTTTGAGTGATACAAGAATAAAAAGTCTTAGTTTTACCCCCCTGGGAGATTCTAAAAATTATTCATGGTTTTTAAAACAAATTCTGCTTGGCCATATGTAGTGATGCACACCTATAATCCCAGCTACGCAGGAGGCTAAGGCAGGAGGATGTCAAGTGCAAGGCCAGCCCAGGCAACTTAACAAGACCCTATCTCAAAGTAAAGTTAAAAAAAAAAAAGTACTTGGTCCATAGCTCAGTGGTAGAGTGTGTGCTAGCATGTGCGAAGCTCTGGGTTGGGTCCTCAGCGCCATCTAAACAAAGCCCCCCCCAAAAAAATACCAAATTCAAATTCTGCTTGTCAGAGCATACCCCAAACTGTGAAACAATTGAGACCTGAGCATTTATTTGTTACCTCAGCATAACCTGGCTTATCCTGACTAATACACATACACATATACAGTTTCTATTTGTTGAGTACTATCCTCAAGCAGGGTCACATTCTAGGCACTTATGTACTCTACCTACTTCATCCTCCCAACAGCCTGCACAACAGGTAATGTCTTATTGCTTTCCATTTTGCTGAGAAAGAGGGAGGCTTAGTGACATGCACTAGGTAAGTGGCAGAGGCAGAATTTAAACCATGTGGGACTAACACTACTACCTAATATCTAATAATGAATACAGTCTTTAGAAGGTTTTGTCATAGCTTTCAGTAACTATTGCCCTTCTGCATCCCCAGAATGCTGAAAGAGGCCAAAAGTGTCCCAGCTGGAGGTGGCTGGAGAGACCAAAACCACAAGAAGTAACTTGGGTGTTCTTGCCAGCCATCCCCAGCTTACACCTGGAACCCACCAAAGGTCCGTGGATGATGTTGTTGGGACATTCTTGGGCTGTAGGAGACCACAGTGTTGGAACCCCCCTCACTGGCCTTGCAGCAGCAACAGAAGATCTTTGATGCCATGTTTTGGTGGCTTTGGGAAGAAGAAAGGGCACTGGGCGTCTGGCTGGGTAGCCTCAACCCCAGGAGCCCATTGTTGTTTAAGCAGTGAGTCACACTGGGCCCCCACCTGCTGTAGCTCCCCACGTCCAGCAGATCCAGGCTCACCTGCCTGCGCCTACCTCTCCTTTACAGTCCACAGTCCTACCAGTGCAAAGGACTCTGCCTCACTTCCGCCAGCCCTCATGCGCAGGAGCATCTTCTTCAATCAGCAGGCTTTGGGTCTGGCACAGTTCTAGGGCAGGAGATGTTCCTACATGAACATATAGGTGTGGCAGGAGATGTCCATGCCTTCATCGCGTGGTCCTGTGGCAGTGAAACCCCAGCAAGTATAGCGTGTGCATGGACAGGCTCGGGGTCAGCTTTACCTCTGCTTTCCAGGGTGTGCTCGGGAGAGGGTCCTTTCTCGGAGCCTCCCTGTGTTATCTGGTGGGAAGCATATCACCACCTGGGAGGAAGAAGGGTGTCGCTGTCAATCTCTGCCCCGCAGGTGCTCCAAGGCCCCACCCATTCCGTCTCTCCATCCTCTCCGCGCTGGTGGCTCCTGTTCCTTCCAGCGAGGCCCAGGCCCATGCAGCATGGTGATGAAGCTCTGCTTTGCTGCTTCAGCTCCTGGCCCTCACTGCCTTGCTGGGTGGCTTTGGCTGGCCCAGGCCTTTCTCCGGATCTAGGGTTCTTGTCTGCAGCTAAGGTGATTGGGCTCCTATCTCTCCAAGGACCCGTCCAGCTCTGATGACCCAAGGTTGTAAGTCCACGTTGTTCCTAACCTCCTTTCTGTCTTCCAGGGCCTGCCACCCTCCCGCTCTTGCTGTCCTTTCTCTGTGACAAAGCTCTGCTCTGGTGGTCATATGCCAGTCCCAGCACACTGGGACCAGTGCCTGGCTCATTCCTGGGCAGTGGTTTCCCAGCTCTGCAGCCTCTTCCTCCACCCCATCATCTCAAGTTGGGTTACTGCAGTGGTCCCGGATGCTCCTCTGCTTCTCCCACCTGGTCTCGCTTAAGCATATGAGTCACACTGTGTCACCTCTGCCCATAACTGCCCGGTGGCCTCCCTTGTGATGCAGAATAAGACCCAGTTCTTTTAGGACCTCCCCTGAAGAAGTTCACAATGTGACCATTACCTTTGCCTGTCCTCCTGCTATCTCCTGCCTGCTCCTTCCCTCCCTCCTGGCTGTACCAGGCACTGCTGCCTTTGCTTCCCCCTTGCTCATCCCTTGGATCCCACCAGGTTCTTTTCCTCACCCACCTAAGGGCCACCTTGTCTAGTGGGGCCTTCTCTGGCCTATTCACCTTATTAAATCCCCTCCTCTCTCCCAGCTCTCCCTGTTCCCCTTTTCCACAGCTCTGGTTGCACCCTAACATATCCTAGGGTGTATTCATTTGTGTGTGCCCTGTCCTTCCACAGGTGGCCCAGGAAGTCAGGGGTCTCCTTTGTCCACTGTGGGTCCCCAGCACAGGGCACAGGGCAGGCGTTTTGTAGACACTGTGGCATGGATGGGTGAACCTGTCCTCGTCTCATTTTGGTCCTGAGTACAAGCAGATGCTCACCAGGGAGCAGCAAGGACTGAATTATTTTTGTTCCAGGAGTGTCACAACCGGTAGGACTTGCCTGCCTTATCTATCTGCTAGGCTGACTGATGGCTTTGCGCGTGACTAATACGGCTGCTCTGGCGGCCTGCTGGCGGGTCTCTTCTACCCACACCTGCTTCTCCTCTTCCTGTGGTCCCCGTGTAGGCAGGTCCCACTGTTTCCTTCAGGTCTAGAGCCAGAAATGGGGACTCCTTTCTCCCTCTCCCTGCTCCATCCCCCCTGCTCTTGCCCCTGCACCACAGCTTCTCCTCTGGCCCCTCTGGCTCTCTTGCAGCCCGCAGCCAAATCTCGAGTCACTCCTCTGCAAACCCTCAATGACTTCCCCGTTCTCCTGCTTGAACTTGCTTCAGGCTCTGGCCTTGTGGCCCTCGCCAGCTTTCTCCACAGCCGCACATTCACTGCTTTTCAGCCTCAGAGCTGCCAGCCAGCAGTGCACAAAATGTGCTTCTCCTGTGCTACCATTGGCCTGTGTACACGCGGCTTCCTGTCCCTGTTCTCTGTCCTCCCTCCTCCCATCACACTCCATTGAGCTTGGGTTCCCCTCCTCAGGAAGCTCCCCTCACCCTGGGACGAGTTAGGGCTTTTCCCTTGCGGTCCCACTGCCCCTCTGCTTCCCTGGCCCTGTCTTGGCCGCACGTCACTATGTGAACCACGGCAGGTGCTCAGCAAATGTTTTGCCTATGAAAAAGATCTGTGATATTTAGAAATGTGTTCAGTATACATAGTCAACACCTTGTGGGTTCTCAGGGACTGAAGCAGTTGTGGATTGAACATATGAAAATATGCATCTGTACCGAACATGTACAGACCTTTTTTGGTTATTATTCCCTAAATAATACAGAAGAACAACTATTTACATAACTCTTGCATGGTATTAGATACTATAAGTAACTTAAAATGATTAGATACTATAAGTAACTTGAAATTTAGAAGAGAATGTGCATAGGTTTGTGGACAAATAGTACACAAGTTTATGGAAGGGATTTGAGCATCCACGGATTTGGGTATGGAAGGGTGGTCTTGGGTGTACTGAGTGTGTACTGGTGCTGAGCTCTGTTTGGGGCTGAGGATCCTGCAGTGTCAAGGAGACAGGGATGTGTCCTGGTCCCCTTGAGATCCCAACACACACATAGGGCTGGGCACAGAGCAGGCTTCTGTCCATGCTGGTTGACCAAAATGCATGAACCTTTCTGACCGTTGGACAACACGGTGCTCAGTTCCTTCCCGTTCTTTCCATGATCAGGCTTTCACTTTCCACTCCTAGGAACAGAAGTGTCCTCATCCATGCTTTTGTCTTTGTCCCCACAACTTCTGTCTTAGAAGTTAGTCGGAAGAGAGAACCACTGTGTTGAGAACGTGGCATTTACTGGGCACTTTAGGCAGTCGTTTGACATTTATGAGCTCGTTTTTCTTTCATCTCCACTGTGCCATGCAGGGTGTGTCCCATTTCTTTTGTTGGAAGGACTAGGTCTCGGAAAGGTGACTTACCGAGGTGTTGCAACCAAGGGGAACAGCTGCGATTTTAGTGTAGTTTTTTCTTCTGTGGAATAGTGCCTAGGATGGGACCAGGACCTTGCACATGCTGGGCGAGTGCTCGCCTGTTGTGTGACACCCACAGGCCCATTAGTGTAGTTTTGTCTGAGCCCAGAGTCTGTGCTGCCCAGGCACAGGAAACATTCAGACCATCTTGTCCTCTGACAGTGGATGGTAGGGGGCCTCAAGGACCAAGCTCCATCTGAAGCTTGGCAGAGGGGTGCCACAGTGCAAAGCACATGCTTTTAACATAGACTTGGATTCCTGATTCTGGTAGCACCTTGTGTAGTTTGGAGCAATTTTGCCTCCTGGAAGCTCAGTTTGCCTATCTATGCAAGGAGGATGGTAAAACCAGCCCAGAATGTTGTTGTGAGGACTGGGTGATGTAAGATGGAAAGTGCTCAGCATGGCTTCTTGCACACAGTAAGTGCTTAGTAACTCAAGATGTGGCAAGGGGAGTCACATGTGGATGAGCGTGGGGAGTGTCTTGCACTACCAGTGCCCTCCTCTAGATGGAAGCAGTAGCCAAAGAACGGCCCTTGGGTTGTTCCCAGTGGGCTACGAGCTTCAGGTCCCACAGCAGGTTGATAGAACAAGCCAGGTCTGTGAGGTCAGGCCAGAACATTTCTGGGCTGGGGCACCCTCTGGGCTCATTCAGCACAGGTCAGGGGCCAGAAAGAGAAAGAGCAGGGCCATGAAGGGTGTTGTCTGTTTCTGATGAAATGAGCAGGTGTTCAGGAGGGGTGGGTGCACTCTCCCTTTCAGTACAGAAAGCTCCCCAGCTCTGGCTCGTGGGTCTGACCTTTGAACCACACTCTCCTGCACTGGCAGAGTAGACAGGAGGCAGTGTGTGATGTCACAGAGCTGGGAACCAGGGAATGTTGGGGGACAGAGGAGCTCAGACTGGACCATGAAGGTCGGAAGGAGGGAGGGTCTCACCTGATCTCCTCAGTGGTCCTTCCCTCTGTCCCCCGTATCTGTCATGTTGGTTGGGGTAGTTTTACCTCTTGTGCCCCTCATCCTTCTTGGATTAGTAGGGCAGCTAGCCCATGTCCTTCTCAAGAGGTTTCCCAGAGGCAAGAGAAAGGCAGCCTCATTAGGAAAAACATGTCTGCTGGTGTCTCATTCACTAAGTTCTGATTGGCCAAGCAACACATGACAGAGCCCGGGGGAATAAAAATGCACTTCACCCAAGAAGATATGGCAAGAAGAGTAGGATTTGGGGCCAATATTTTGTTTTGCCACAAGTAGATACCATTACTATACTCATTTTACAGCTAAAGAAATAGGAACAGAATGTATTAGGTATTTTGGACAAGGTGACATAGAAAGAGGCTGAGGCATTTTAAAGGCTCAAGGTTGATACTATCAAGTCATTTCACAAGTAGGTTGTGCCCATGTAGCTCCATCTCCTCCGGGAAGAGAATGCTGGTGTCTTACCTATGGCTGCTGCCGTCCTCCCGCTGTTCCGGTCTCTGTGCTACTGTGGAAGAAATCTGCCTGAGAGCTGGACAGAAATTTTATTGCAGGACTTAAGAGACAGGAGAGACCAAATGGAAAACAAGAGGATTTTATTTTTAGGTGTACACCAGCTCAGCTGATAAATCTAAGTGGCTGAGCAAAGGACAAGGAACAGGTTCCAGCTTCTGTACATTTGGTCAAGAGGGTTGGTCTTTGTGGGAAGAAGGCAAACACACGCAGTTTGTCAAGCCATGACAGCTTTGCATCTTGGTGGCCCTGCTTGGATATAACAGGATGTTAAGGGAACAGGAGGTGATAAAATTTCGCTTACAGGGACGAAAGTTACTGCTTCAGTTTCTCTCCATGGGATTGGATTGAGCCTACCCAGACAAGTGGGGGATTATCTCGGTGTTAGCTTTTTGTTGCTGGGATGAAATAAATACCTGACATAAGTGACTTTATTTTGACTCAGGGTTCCAGAGTGTTCAGTCCATGGTTGGCTGGGTCTAAGCAGAAAGAAATGTCACAGCAGAAGAACACAGTGGAGGAAGAGCTGCGCCACCCAAGGCAGTCAGGAAGCAGAGAAAAAGGAAAAGAGCAAGAGAGAGGAAAGGGCTGGGGACAAGAATATACCTTCTAGGTTACACCCTCAGGGACCTGCTACCTCCAGCCATCCTCTACTTCATATCACTGCATTTAGCTATAATCTCATCAATGCAGTAATCCACTGATAAAGTTGATCCCTTCAGTACATGAGTCTTTGGGGGACACTTCCTATTTAAACCATAGCAACCCCTCTCCCAGTGTCACTGATTAGAAGCCTTGATCATACCTGTTGCCTTCATCCCCCTTTGCAGGGTAAAGTCATGTGTTCACAGGGTCAGGGAACAGGATGAAGACAGTTTTGCATGAAGGGGCATTATTCTGTCTCCTGGTCTATAAATATGTGTCAGAAAATTAAAGGACGAAATAGAGTCCCAGTTTAATTCCCCCAAAGAACAACAAACTAATCAAAAGAATATATAGGGTTAAAAACAAATTATTAGACTGTAACAATGTTTCTAACTGATAATTTAAAAAATTAACAAAACAGGGAAGTGGAGTGGCTTGGCAGGGGATCAGATGATCCGCACTGTCACCCCCATGGAGCTGTGTCACAGGTCTCCATATACCATGCACTGAGGAGAACCAGGATGGCTTCCAGCCCCAAGTGAAAACGGGAATCCATCAGAAGGAAACCTCAAACAAACCCAAACTGAGGGCTGTTTTATGAACAGCTATGCCTGTTGTCTGCAGAAGAGTGAAATTCAAGAAACACAAAGAACGCTTTTAGATTAAGGGAGCATAACAACTGCATGCAATTCATGATCTTGGATTAGATCCTCAACTGGGCAAAAGTTGCTATGTGACATTTTGGGGATGATTGCTGACATTTAAATAGTCTTGTGTCAATGTTGGAATTATTAGTTTTGATAACTACCTATATCCTTGTTTTTAGCAATCTATGTTGAAATATTTAAGGGCAAAAGGACAAGATGACTCTCTCCAGGGAGTCAGGAGAAGATAATAGGGAGAGAGGGGAAAATGATAAAGCAAATAAGGGAAATGTAAACAATTGTAAACAAACAATGGAAATATAAACAATTGGTGAGTCTGGGTAAAGGTAAGGAGTCTTAGTTCAGAGATGCGGAACAGTTTCACAACTTTTCTGTAAGTTGGAAATTATTTCAAAAGGTTTGCAAATGGGGAGGGGGCTGAGAGGTGGGACAGGGGGAGGGCGGGAGAGGCAGGGGAGGTAAAAAGAATTAAAATGTGCTATGTACACACTGCACCAACTCCACAAATGAATGTAGCCATTTTGTCCTGCAAGCTTCTGCTAATAAAAATGTAAAAAAAGGATACCCAAAAGTTTTAACGTTTTGTTTAGGTTAGTTAGGTGTGACAAAATATTTAAAAATGTAAGACCTCATTTGTAAGAGACACTCCCTGATATGGAGAAAGAGAAAAGGCAAGGGACGCCTCCTCTAAGGTGGCCAAGAACTTTAATCAGAGGCAGCTTCTTCTGCCCTGGCTGTGTCAGAAGCTGAGGTCAGGCCAGAAGGTGACACAGTAATGGCTCCAACATCTTCTCCTCCCGTCGGGAGTTTTTGAATCAGTCTTCATGACCCCTGTCCACTGCCCTCTTCCTCTTGGAGACCCTCGGCAGCTGTGCAGCCAGAGACCTGCATGGGAGCCCACTGACTAGAATGCTCAGGGCCTCCCGATGAGGCAGGGCTGGAAGGGCCAGTGCTCCTGGTAGTAGTGGTTTAAGTTTCTCTTGTAAAATCCTCCTCGGGAAGCTTCTGCGTTGAGATCTGAAGGGAGAAACAGGGGAAGTCATGCTGTGTGATGGCCTTGGAATGGGGCCTGGATGGACTGTCTGGGTTGGCCCTGTCTCTCTCTGAGCATTCCTCAGATTCCTGAGTCCCTCGGGAGCCCAGGCAGCTGCAGCACAGGAGTTTCTTGCTGTGGATCCCACACTGTACACATTGGTAGAGTCAGTGACAGCAGAGAGTGTTGCAAAGCCCAGTGGCAAGGAGAATAGGGAGCTTGAACCCATCCTGGCTTGGACACTAATGGCATTTCTTGCGGAACTTGTGGGAAGTCCCTTTTCCCTTTGTGGGCCTCAGCTTGAGGCGGTGGGGCGGAGAGAGAAGGGGGTGGGTAAGCTAGTAGGGTCCCCCCTCTCAACTTTCCTTTTGGGTTGAACAGATCTCCTGTAATCTTTTACAGAAATTGGAACTCCAGTGAGATTTTCTTTGCAAGAATGGTTTGGCTGATAGGAGAGTAACTAAAATGACAGGGCTGGGTGATCCTTAGCTGTCACTGACCCGCTGTCACTGGGCAATGCTTTGGTGCCCAGCAGTGTGACTGCATTTCTTCTTCCTGGTTGTTGCCACTGTCCTGGATGGGACATCTGACTTTCCACGAGCCAGGGACATATCACCCAGCACTGAACTACACTCAGTGCACAAGCACTTTCTGGCAGTATCTACTTGCATCTGGCTGGACAACAGGGAGCAAAACCAATGTGGGTTCTCCTTCTGGAACTGAATGTCTATCAACCCAGATAGACAGGAAGCAAACAGTCCCACAAATGTACATACGCAATGATGCCACAAGGCCAATAGGAAAGTATGGATGCATGACGGCCTTTCCTCCCGCACCTCCTCCTCCTCCTCATGAGATTCCTGGCTTGGAAGATCATGGAGAGAGATCTGAGACTCCTGAATCCTGCCAGTGTGCTCTAGAATGTGGCCACAGCTTTCTGATGGCAGTGGTCATTCTCTCCTCACCCTATTTAGCTTAGCTCAGCTATCCGTGGGTCTGGTCATCACGGCAAGGTCCCTTTCCTAGAGGTCAGCATTAGGACTCCAGTTGGTGACTCACCCTGAAGCTCACTGCTGCTGGAGGAAGTGTTCTTCGCTGGGTGCATCAGGCATCTTGTGCTAGCGTGCTTGGAATTTTTTCTGTTGAGCTCTTCCTTCTGAAGCTGCAAACCTGGCAGTAAGAATTCCATGAGGTCATATGGGGAGGAGATAGTGGTCCCTTGTCTTTTCCCCTTCCTTGTATCAGAGGAGATCATGGAGGTGGAAGTGTTTAGCAGCTCTGAAACAGCACCCACAGGCAGATGGTGGGTATGATGGGGTAGGGGAGCCTCTAAATCTACCTGCTCTGTCTCTTGCGTGTGTCTTCCTGTGAATGGGCACTGTATTCAAAGTATATACTCTTATGAAAACATTAATGTTTTATCTTTTTGTAAGTGTAATGGATTCCAATTTTAAAAAAATTAAGAAATATTAAATAGTATGAAGCAGGAAAAAATGCCTCAAATATCCCTCCCTGCAGATAATGTTTATCTTTTTCTATGAATATTTTAGTTACTTTTTTTTTGTTACCTGGAATTGAACTCAGGACCTTGCACTTGCCAGGTAGGTACTGTGTGGCTGAGCTATATCCCTGGCCTTCTGTGAATATTTTAAGTACTCCATCATGTCCTATGTATTATATATCTTTAAAATTTTTTCATATATGTTATATTATAAACATTTTGTTATGTTACTTAATTTTAAAAGTAGTGATTATACAATATTGTATTTTATGGCTAATTCAATGATTAGATAAAATTCTATGGATTATTTAAACAACATTCTATTATTGGATGCTTAGACTCTTCCAATTTTACTACTGTAAAGACTGTTGTGGTGAACACTGTTTATAATACTTCATCCTCATGTACTTCTAGAAGTGGCACAAATGATTTTTATCAAAAGACTGAGTTGTGTTCTGTAATAGGGTAAATACCTCTGTCATGTCTAGTGGTTTATTTTTTCGGGGTACCAGGAGTTGAACATGACCTTATACTTGCCAGGCAGGTGCTGCGCTGCTGAGCTATATCCCAGCCATAGTGGATTATCTTTTTTTTTTTTTTTTTTT